GTCGTCTTAGTTACACCATTTATAACTCAAGAACGGCTGAACCGATTTGGCTGAAAATTGGTTGGGAGGTAGCTTACAACCGGGAGAAGGGCATAGGATACTTTTCATCACGTTCCACCAGAAAAACGTGGTATATGTAAACGCAACTGATATGGAATGACAAAACGCAAATGACAGCAAAACGAAAAATTTATAAATCAAATCATCAGTCTAGCCGTTCATTTGTTAAAAGTGGTATAACAAAACGCAACTGACAGCTAAACGTAATGTTGTTTATGGTTAAGTATGGTGTTTTATTTATAGTCAGATTTACCTGAAACTGGGCTTTAATGCTTTTTCATATCAAATTAGTGTCATACATACCTATTTCAACATTTTTCAAAATTCTACCTTTTTAGGAAGCTGAAAGAGGTTTGCAACGATTACATGTTTCTTTTTGGTCCGATTTACTTGAAACTGGTTAAAACATTCAATCTCTGTTGGGGGGGATGAGTGGTGAAGAGGAGTTGCAATGTTTAAAAGAAATATATTATTTGTGGTCAGATTTACTTGAAACTTGGTCTTAATGGTCTCTCGTTTAATTTCTGAAAGATCTATTTCGACATTTTAAAAAGGGAAAGGTGTTGCAATTTTTGTTTTGGACATACTTTATTTGTGGTTGAATTCACTTCAAACTTGGTATATATGCTGCGTGATATAATTAATCAAATGAATAAAGATTGCAACGTTTCAATGAGGTTTATTTTATTTGTACTCTGAATTACTCGAAGGTTGCTCATTGTTGAAATTAAGCAAATACGTGTTTTGGCAATTTTTAAAAATCAACCCTTAAAGATGAAATGTCGTTGCTATGTTTGTATTTGAAATCTAAGATGGTGACATTACATAAAATTAAAACGTTGTAAGGGTGAATTGGGAGTTAAAAGGTCTTATGGAGAAACAATATTAATTTCTGCAAGTGAAGCTACGGGGAAAAGCTGGTATTGTATACAATTTTTATAGCAATCAATAAATAATACAATCTTAATTCCAATTTTTATTAGGGAGATTTTTTGTTATACTTATTAAATTATTATTGCTGGAGTTTGTTTTTTCTTTTTCCTCTGGAGAATTACTCGGCACTCTCCGGGTGCCCGGCGTCGTTATCCGATACCCGGCCGAATCCTAAAAAATGTCGGATTCGCCGGGTACTTGATTTAAACTCGGTACCCCACTTATCTCTACTTGAAAGTTTAAATAAATTACCGTGAAATTGCTCTCATAAAAATGGCGACATGCAACCGTAGCACACTTCGTAAATATCAAGGGCTGTGCGAACCTGTGAAGGGTTAAAATCGAAAAATTTAAAAACATTTTTGTACTTTTTTAAAAAAATTATCTCAGTGAGATAAATAAAAAAAAATTGAGTAGATCTCTCTATAAGAATGAGTTCAAAAATTTATTGTGCGAAAAATGATATCATTTTTTTTTTGTATCATCCATCAGTGACCCTCTACCAAATTGCATCCGTATAGGTAGGTAAATCAGTGTGTGATGTATGTATGTCATACATACAGACGGACGAACCAATTCCTGAATCTCTAAATGAATACCTACAATAATAAGGGACAATTTATTAATCAAAAAGTAAATGTATTTAAATTTTTGATACTCCTACTGGTATACAGATAAAACTAAAAACCAAATCTAGGTAGAAGACTCATCAAGCTGTTTTTTACCACGAAATGTAGTAGTTGAACTTTAAATATCTGTTTATGACCTCAGTCCTCATCATGAACAAGGCAAACCGCTATTTAATGCACTGCTATAGGTACTATGTATATACATATGTATGTATACAGAGTCCACTGTAAGAAAAGTTTCAGTAAAATTTTAATTACAACAAGATATTAACTTCATTTTAACTTATTAACGTGTTCAAAAATCTGCTTTTTGTTGAGGTTTGTTGTTTATTTAACAACTACTTCCTAATATCCGCGCCTTCATTTGCGTAAAACTACTTCCAATTGTTTGTAATAAATACAATTGTTCTAATCCAGAGATGGCGAACCAATGGCACGCGTGCCATTTGTGGCACGCGACACAATATTTTGGGCACGTCACTAATGTTTCTGTGATTGATTCTTTAATCAAGGAATTTTCAGCAAGATTTGCTCACTTCAGAGAATTATTGGAAATACTAATACGAAAGTTTATTATGTACCCTGATGTAACATTTGATAAAATAAATTGAAGAATCTGAAATGCAGCTGATTGATTTCCAGTCTAGTTCAATATGATTCAAAAGGTTGTTGGAACAAGGAAATAGAAAATTAGAAATAATTGAAACAGAAAGATTGACGGGTAATACAAGGGAAAATGCTAATAACAAAATTTTGGAAACATGGAATTCGATAACAAACACATTTAATTTTTTGAAAAAGCTGGCATATGATATTTTAATAATGTTTTCATCAAACTATGCCTGCGAGTCGTTATTTTCAGAGATTAATAACATCAAAAACTCGCAGTTATAAACCGTTTGGTAGATGACTCCAGTTCAGCATGCATTCCGCTAAAATTAACATCTTACAACCCTAATATTAGTTATTTGTCATCTAATCTGCAAAAACAGAAGTCACACTAATTTTACTTTAATTTAAATTACACGTATAATTTAAACATTGCAGAATGTTCCTATTTTCTTGTAGAATTTTGAGTTGATATTATTTATTATCATTATTTTCCCAATAATCACAGAGACAAAATTATTTGATGGCACGTCTATGACCTGATTAAACTTTTCTTTATAAAAATGGCACGACGGTACTTAAAAGTTCGCCATCCCTGTTCTAATCCATAAAGATGTAACTTTAAAAGTAGCCCAAATTACTAACAACTTCTTCTTCATGTCTGTAATGTGCTAATGTTCCATCGATATCGGTTCAGCCGTTTCAACAATTGAACCATATAATGCGACAGAGATAAACAATAATTTTTGCTAGAGTCGTTTGTATGATAAGATAACATGATTTTAAAAATGACAGTTGTTTAAAAATTAAAAAGAGACATTTCAGTTTCATTTATATGTACAAATAGAATTTGTTTTTATTGCAGCCTGCAATTGTATGCGACCACTACAAGATGTTAACAGTTTCATACATTAACAAATCGCTCGGTAATCATTTACTAAAACATCGTGGTACAATTAGGGCAATTATTTATTATTTGTAGCAGGAATATTCATAACTACGGCATTATAAGTATTTATTTCTCATTTCGTTCGATATGAGTACATAGTAATCTCGAATGGTTTTGTTTAGGATAAAAAGCATAAATGCTCGAATGGAGGGTTTTAAAGATTTCATTGTTGTGTTGTTGTTAGTTAAAATGTGAAGATTGTAATTAGCATCAAGTTTTCTTTTCCGTGTAGCAATGCGAAGATTTTGTAATTACCGAAAGCACAAGGCGTAAGTGGACTCGGACTTACAGCGTTAATAATTTAATTTTTATGGGCGGCACAGCATTCTCACCTGCTTTTTTATGTGTCAGTTGTAATGTGTTCCTTCAAAACATTCAAATTATGGGCAACCGAAAGCGCGCCACGCGGTTTTTACTCTTTATACGTCGCTCTTCTTCATCTCTTCTATACACACATATGTACATGTACATGCTTGCTTCTTATTCCTGGAAACATTAAACTCTCAGACCGAGCAGCTAACGAACAACAGTTAACTTAATGAAGTAATTTTAGCTTTTACGTCCAGTTGTAGTGGGTTGTATGTTAAAACCGAATTTTAGTTGCCAACTGATGTTATATCAAATATACGTCATCAATATTTATTTTATAATGTTGTATCTATTCCTAAGATACTTTTACCTCCCGTTTAGGGTGTGTACAAGGGCGGTGGTTGTTATTTATTATTGCATATTTATTGAGATGTTTGTCGATAANCCATTTTCTGATGTATCACTTTTGTCGATATTATTCAAAGATTACTCAGTTGTTAAAAGATATACAGGAAGCTAATAATATAGAATATTAACATTAAATTTTTAATTCCCACGATTTTTATGATTAACAAAGTGAATTCGACAGATAACCTTAATTTATTGGTTTGATAAGTAGGATTAATAATAAGCATAAATTGCGTATATCAGTGGCTTCGTAGCTTGGTGGCCTTCTAAAAACGTTACCTACCTATTCGGCTTACCTGCTAATGACTCAAAAATCTGCCTCATCGTTTTAATAACTTAATCCGAAAACATTAACACCTTTATAAAGGTTATCCAAAAAAATTTATTGCTTTTGTGTACAAGTATATCAGATTTTCTTTCTAATACAACGAAACGAGTTCGATTTTTTTAATCTGGATTTATGACATCGGTACTTATTTTATCTACTGGTATACCTATGTATGAATTCATTTGGAAAAATGGTAGAGAGGTATTAGTCAGATGTTATTTAGGTAGCGATTAATTATGTCACTTGAAACTGCCACCGTTTAGCTCAGAGCCGGGCAAACTTATACTTCGCAGGAGCCGCTACCTGAGGTTAGTTCGAGTCACTCTATACCCTTCAATGAGTACGAGAGAGTAAACAGTAATGAATAATTTTGTTTTGTTTTCTTCTCCCTTCCACTCCCTTATCAAGCCCCTTCATCCCGTAGACGAGCGAAGCCACTCTCGCAACTTAAATAATAATTTTCGTTACTACGTTCGCAAAACTATTGGGTTTGGCTATGGAAGAGGGGACTCACCTACGAAATGGAAGGGATAAGAAAAGGAAAAAATCATCTCACTCGCACTCGCAGGATCAATGAGGAGCTACTTGGTTAACCTTGAGGAGCACTCGGGAGTCAAAAGAGCCGAGTTTGCCCGGCTCTGGTTTACTTCAAGATTTTTTAAATAATGCAATAAATAAAAAAGATTGTCCGCTTATTGTGTAACATGTAAAATTTTCTGTCTTACTTTATCACATCTTTATAGTGAAAAATAAATTTGCTTTTTCTCTTTTACAGATATAAATGAATGCGAATCTGCTCCTTGTCAAAATGGCGGTACATGTCTTGATTTAGAAGATGCGTTTTCATGCGAATGCCCATCGGCCTGGGAGGGAAATGTATGCCAGTTTGGTAAGTTCTTACATACGATGTTATATGAAAACCTGAAAAAGATTAGAGATGCACCGGATGGAGATTTCGCCGCGTACCGGGTACCAATACAGTTAATGGTTTATGTTTACGTTTTGACGATCTTTCTATTAAATACCACCCTTACCAACGTCCCAAACTAACCATTTATACAAAAAATCTTTTAAACACTAAACCAATGAAATTTTAATTCTTGATTGTCGGATTTCCAACCAAAAGCTTTAGTTGAAACCACTGAAATGAGCTTGTAATGTTTATAAATAGTAAAAGTGTACAAGTAATAAGTTACCGTTAATCGAAATCTGACATACTAGAACATGATCCTAGAACCATCAAATATTACTTATTTTCTGAGTAACAAAATGGCTAGGATAGAGTAGTGTTAGTATGCGCTTTGAACCAATGCATACTTGCTAACTTGGGCGGTGGGCCAATTTGCAAATACCAGGTGTTAAAGGTAAGTAAAAATATTACTTACTTTTCTTAAAATTTGATTGTTGATTTTTATATAATGTTTCACGGAATATTGTTAAAAATTAATAATCAACACTGCCAGAAACTTCCTACCGGCGGTAATTTCTGCCAGGCGCTTCAAAGTTTGCAAAAAAGATCGTAATTTTACTGGCAATGAGTCTTCATTTTTAAACATGATATTGAGCGAAATATTTCAATACTTTTTTAAGCAGGCCAAACATCCCCCAGATTTATACTCGCAACGACATTTTAATTATGTCTGGGGGATGTATTGAAATAGTTTCCGAAGTATCATGTTTAGAAATGAATACTCAGTCAATAAGTAAAATTACAATTTGTTTTCGTAAATTTTGAAGCGTCTGACAGAAATTATTGCTAACCGGAAGTGTCTGGCAGTGTTGATTGTTAATTTTTAGACTTTAAGAAAACTGGGTAACATTTTTACATACTTTTAATATCTTATATCGGCAAATTGGCCCACTGACCAAGTTAGCAGGAATGCATACGTTCAAAGTACACACTAACACTACCCTATCCCACCCACTTTGCCTTTCAGAATATAAGTGATGTCTAGCGGCTCAGATGGAATCTTGACCTACACCAACAAGTCACAGAAATTATAACAGTTTACCCGTACTAATGTATCCTTGTTCATGACAAAAAGCAAGCACAAAAACTACATCGTGATAAGAAATAATTTAGTATAGTAATCAAGACAAAAGACTTAAGCACACCGTCATCAATACAATCTTAATTACCAATTTTTAGTAGGTAGGCCTTTTTGTTGTAATACTTATTAAATTATTATTACTGGTGTTGATTTTTCTTGTTTCTTTGTGGTAGAATTACTCGGTACTGCCAGGTACGCGGCGCTAGTGTCTGGTACCCTATTGGATCTTAAAAAAAGAATTGGATTCGTCGGGTACCAGATCTAAACAGAGTACCTAGTCCATCTCTACTAAAGATAAAACATATAGCCATACTTCGTTTACTTTCTGTAGCGACGTGACCTTCAGTTTGACCAGCGCAAAGTAGAAAAGAATAGCACTAGGCCAGAAAAAGAAGGAGACAATTCTTGGCCCAAACTCTTAACCGGTGAGGAGCGTATAATCCGTACAGTACTGCACGGAAAAGTTGACCATTTTATCCACTACAATTGCATTGCTCAAATGTGCTGTTGTTGGTACCATTTTCTACTGAAAATATCAACGAGATGTTTATTTATATTGAAGACATATTAAATGCTTTAACGCTTGTTTTCGACTCGAACTACTATTCGTGATTGAATAAAACTTTTGGCAGGTACTGTATGAAAAAGTATGTTTAATGAATAAGAGTTGAGAGTATAATGAGCTTTTTTTTCTCTACCTACAATTTTGTCAGCGCGCATCCAATACATTGGAAAGGGCACATCGCTAGAGAAAGTAAATGAAGTATAGGTACCTGTACACAAACATAATCCTACATCCTTTTTTCCACAAAACGAAATAATTTCGGTTATCCGTTACAGATGCTGACGAATGTTTAACGAATCCTTGTGTTAACGCATTATCATGCACAAACCTTGTTGGTGACTACCAGTGTCGGTGCCTCGTAGGATGGACGGGAAGAAATTGCGATCAAAATATAAATGATTGCGTGGGCCAATGTCAACATGGTGCCACTTGTATCGATCTGGTTAACGATTATCATTGCGCTTGTCAGCCTGGTTATACAGGTAAGATTATGAGTGATATATTCTACCGTATTATACACTTTGTGATTATCATAACATCCTTACAATTCCTAATAGAGTCGATGAGTGGAACATCTCATAACTCACGAGAGTTTCAAGAGTATGCAAAATTACTTTGAATAAAAGGGAAAACATCGTTTACATATTTTAATGGAGCGAAAATGCATAATTCTAATTAAACATATTGACATGTCTATTGAAGATACCGAAAAAAGTAATAATTTTCCAAACAATTAATGATTAATAAAGTTATAATGTTCTTTTTTGCATGTTTCTTAACGCGTAATGATTGATAGGCTTAGAGATATTTCTTTTTTTTTGTAGCGGTCTTCACACTTACCTCCATTATCTTCAAGTAGCTTCAATTGTGCCAAAAAAAGATAATTTATGCCTGAAAACTCTAACAATAGAAGCTACTACAAAGGGGTCCTTCATATGATTACATGGCGCTGTTTGTGTCACAGTTTTTTGGATCCCCTCACCCCTTTTTATGTTTTGTCACGCAGGTCATATACCCGCTCCCACCTTGTTGTCACGTAATATACGTTTCTGTCCTAGTGGCCAATAAAATTGTACAAGAAATGAGGTTTTTACAAACAAATTAAATACTCAATCTTTAGAGAACACTTTTGAATTTTTTTAATGGTCATTTTAAAATAACAATGTTTAAAACCAATTTGTGTAGAATCGGGGCCCTAGTGAAGTATTCTGTTGGGGGGGTGGGGGGCGCAACCGATTTACCAACTGTTGTTCTTTAATTTACAACTAATATTTGACACATCCAAAAAAAATATGCATTTATAACTAAAAAATAATTATCAAATATTNCATTCTTAATACAGTAGGTTAATATTATTAGTTTAAGTTTCGTCCACATATTCACCATACTGTTTAGGTCAATACCTTCGCAAAGATCTTTTTCACTTTTTATCATCATTAGACCATCATGTCTCTTGTTTTTAATGATGGTCCCGGTTAAATGTTACAAACAACTATTTGAAGTGAAACAAATTTTTTTTCGTTCGAAGCCACCGACAAGTTCGCTGGAAATACATAATAGCTGACAAAGACCAAAAGTTTCCCCAATAGCTATTTTATATCTAACAGCTACCTTCATGGTGCCTTACATAAATAATATATCAAATATCTCTGTCTAGATATATATATGATCTATATGATCAGATGATACAGCAGTGTCAATTTTTCACTTGTAATGTTCTTTTTGTCTAAAGGATTTATGAGTATATTTGAGATTGGTTTCAAACGTTCTACAACCATTTTGAGTTTATCTTGTAAAAAGTTTGTAATTTTATCTTAAATGCTTAAAAATTCTTTTCTATAAAACATATTTACGTAAAAGCTCGCTTCATTGGATTCACAGTTATCAATTTTTGCCAGAATTATTCCTTCTTAGTGATGTCTTTGAAAATCCTATTCAAACGTTCTACAATCATTTTGAGTTTATTTTGCAAAAACATTGTAATTTTATCTTAAATGCTTAAAAATTCTTTTCTATAAAACATATTTACATCAAAGCTCCCTGCATTGGATTCACGGTTATCAATTTTTGTGGAAATTATTCGTTTCCGATGACGTCTGAAAAACCTGTTTTGGATTAACTTTAACTTTTCTGGCAAAAATTTTGNAAAAAGCCGACTGAAGAAAATATTGGGGGGGGACATCCCCCCCTTTGGCTAGGGGCCTGTTTAGAATCAATCACAAAAAGTTCTTGTAGTGATCGCAAGCCCCAAGTCATATCTTCTTTTTTGGTTCATAGATGCCTTCCGGCTTTCATATTATTGTTAGTTGAATATATACCGTGACCCCCCCTCTTCCATTAACAATTGTCAAATAATGCAACCCCAAGGCCACCACTCGCGGCGTGATGTAAAATATGAACGAGTTTTACTGGAGCCTGCTATTGGTTATGAATCATGTAGTTCCGAATTTACAGGAATTAGATTAAAAAATCGGTTGTCTGTAAAGTCGGTTTACTGACGATAGTTGAACGTGACAACGTCATAAGAAAATACTGATGAAATGGTTTCATTTATTGCATTGCTCAAATGTGCTGTGATTGGTACCATTTTCTACTGAAAATATCAACGAGATGTTTATTTATATTGAAGACATATTAAATGCTTTAACGCTTGTTTTCGACTCGAACTACTATTCGTGATTGAATAAAACTTTTGGCAGGTACTGTATGAAAAAGTATGTTTAATGAATAAGAGTTGAGAGTATAATGAGCTTTTTTTTCTCTACCTACAATTTTGTCAGCGCGCATCCAATACATTGGAAAGGGCACATCGCTAGAGAAAGTAAATGAAGTATAGGTACCTGTACACAAACATAATCCTACATCCTTTTTTCCACAAAACGAAATAATTTCGGTTATCCGTTACAGATGCTGACGAATGTTTAACGAATCCTTGTGTTAACGCATTATCATGCACAAACCTTGTTGGTGACTACCAGTGTCGGTGCCTCGTAGGATGGACGGGAAGAAATTGCGATCAAAATATAAATGATTGCGTGGGCCAATGTCAACATGGTGCCACTTGTATCGATCTGGTTAACGATTATCATTGCGCTTGTCAGCCTGGTTATACAGGTAAGATTATGAGTGATATATTCTACCGTATTATACACTTTGTGATTATCATAACATCCTTACAATTCCTAATAGAGTCGATGAGTGGAACATCTCATAACTCACGAGAGTTTCAAGAGTATGCAAAATTACTTTGAATAAAAGGGAAAACATCGTTTACATATTTTAATGGAGCGAAAATGCATAATTCTAATTAAACATATTGACATGTCTATTGAAGATACCGAAAAAAGTAATAATTTTCCAAACAATTAATGATTAATAAAGTTATAATGTTCTTTTTTGCATGTTTCTTAACGCGTAATGATTGATAGGCTTAGAGATATTTCTTTTTTTTTGTAGCGGTCTTCACACTTACCTCCATTATCTTCAAGTAGCTTCAATTGTGCCAAAAAAAGATAATTTATGCCTGAAAACTCTAACAATAGAACATGTAAAATTTTCTGTCTTACTTTATCACATCTTTATAGTGAAAAATAAATTTGCTTTTTCTCTTTTACAGATATAAATGAATGCGAATCTGCTCCTTGTCAAAATGGCGGTACATGTCTTGATTTAGAAGATGCGTTTTCATGCGAATGCCCATCGGCCTGGGAGGGAAATGTATGCCAGTTTGGTAAGTTCTTACATACGATGTTATATGAAAACCTGAAAAAGATTAGAGATGCACCGGATGGAGATTTCGCCGCGTACCGGGTACCAATACAGTTAATGGTTTATGTTTACGTTTTGACGATCTTTCTATTAAATACCACCCTTACCAACGTCCCAAACTAACCATTTATACAAAAAATCTTTTAAACACTAAACCAATGAAATTTTAATTCTTGATTGTCGGATTTCCAACCAAAAGCTTTAGTTGAAACCACTGAAATGAGCTTGTAATGTTTATAAATAGTAAAAGTGTACAAGTAATAAGTTACCGTTAATCGAAATCTGACATACTAGAACATGATCCTAGAACCATCAAATATTACTTATTTTCTGAGTAACAAAATGGCTAGGATAGAGTAGTGTTAGTATGCGCTTTGAACCAATGCATACTTGCTAACTTGGGCGGTGGGCCAATTTGCAAATACCAGGTGTTAAAGGTAAGTAAAAATATTACTTACTTTTCTTAAAATTTGATTGTTGATTTTTATATAATGTTTCACGGAATATTGTTAAAAATTAATAATCAACACTGCCAGAAACTTCCTACCGGCGGTAATTTCTGCCAGGCGCTTCAAAGTTTGCAAAAAAGATCGTAATTTTACTGGCAATGAGTCTTCATTTTTAAACATGATATTGAGCGAAATATTTCAATACTTTTTTAAGCAGGCCAAACATCCCCCAGATTTATACTCGCAACGACATTTTAATTATGTCTGGGGGATGTATTGAAATAGTTTCCGAAGTATCATGTTTAGAAATGAATACTCAGTCAATAAGTAAAATTACAATTTGTTTTCGTAAATTTTGAAGCGTCTGACAGAAATTATTGCTAACCGGAAGTGTCTGGCAGTGTTGATTGTTAATTTTTAGACTTTAAGAAAACTGGGTAACATTTTTACATACTTTTAATATCTTATATCGGCAAATTGGCCCACTGACCAAGTTAGCAGGAATGCATACGTTCAAAGTACACACTAACACTACCCTATCCCACCCACTTTGCCTTTCAGAATATAAGTGATGTCTAGCGGCTCAGATGGAATCTTGACCTACACCAACAAGTCACAGAAATTATAACAGTTTACCCGTACTAATGTATCCTTGTTCATGACAAAAAGCAAGCACAAAAACTACATCGTGATAAGAAATAATTTAGTATAGTAATCAAGACAAAAGACTTAAGCACACCGTCATCAATACAATCTTAATTACCAATTTTTAGTAGGTAGGCCTTTTTGTTGTAATACTTATTAAATTATTATTACTGGTGTTGATTTTTCTTGTTTCTTTGTGGTAGAATTACTCGGTACTGCCAGGTACGCGGCGCTAGTGTCTGGTACCCTATTGGATCTTAAAAAAAGAATTGGATTCGTCGGGTACCAGATCTAAACAGAGTACCTAGTCCATCTCTACTAAAGATAAAACATATAGCCATACTTCGTTTACTTTCTGTAGCGACGTGACCTTCAGTTTGACCAGCGCAAAGTAGAAAAGAATAGCACTAGGCCAGAAAAAGAAGGAGACAATTCTTGGCCCAAACTCTTAACCGGTGAGGAGCGTATAATCCGTACAGTACTGCACGGAAAAGTTGACCATTTTATCCACTACAATTGCATTGCTCAAATGTGCTGTTGTTGGTACCATTTTCTACTGAAAATATCAACGAGATGTTTATTTATATTGAAGACATATTAAATGCTTTAACGCTTGTTTTCGACTCGAACTACTATTCGTGATTGAATAAAACTTTTGGCAGGTACTGTATGAAAAAGTATGTTTAATGAATAAGAGTTGAGAGTATAATGAGCTTTTTTTTCTCTACCTACAATTTTGTCAGCGCGCATCCAATACATTGGAAAGGGCACATCGCTAGAGAAAGTAAATGAAGTATAGGTACCTGTACACAAACATAATCCTACATCCTTTTTTCCACAAAACGAAATAATTTCGGTTATCCGTTACAGATGCTGACGAATGTTTAACGAATCCTTGTGTTAACGCATTATCATGCACAAACCTTGTTGGTGACTACCAGTGTCGGTGCCTCGTAGGATGGACGGGAAGAAATTGCGATCAAAATATAAATGATTGCGTGGGCCAATGTCAACATGGTGCCACTTGTATCGATCTGGTTAACGATTATCATTGCGCTTGTCAGCCTGGTTATACAGGTAAGATTATGAGTGATATATTCTACCGTATTATACACTTTGTGATTATCATAACATCCTTACAATTCCTAATAGAGTCGATGAGTGGAACATCTCATAACTCACGAGAGTTTCAAGAGTATGCAAAATTACTTTGAATAAAAGGGAAAACATCGTTTACATATTTTAATGGAGCGAAAATGCATAATTCTAATTAAACATATTGACATGTCTATTGAAGATACCGAAAAAAGTAATAATTTTCCAAACAATTAATGATTAATAAAGTTATAATGTTCTTTTTTGCATGTTTCTTAACGCGTAATGATTGATAGGCTTAGAGATATTTCTTTTTTTTTGTAGCGGTCTTCACACTTACCTCCATTATCTTCAAGTAGCTTCAATTGTGCCAAAAAAAGATAATTTATGCCTGAAAACTCTAACAATAGAACATGTAAAATTTTCTGTCTTACTTTATCACATCTTTATAGTGAAAAATAAATTTGCTTTTTCTCTTTTACAGATATAAATGAATGCGAATCTGCTCCTTGTCAAAATGGCGGTACATGTCTTGATTTAGAAGATGCGTTTTCATGCGAATGCCCATCGGCCTGGGAGGGAAATGTATGCCAGTTTGGTAAGTTCTTACATACGATGTTATATGAAAACCTGAAAAAGATTAGAGATGCACCGGATGGAGATTTCGCCGCGTACCGGGTACCAATACAGTTAATGGTTTATGTTTACGTTTTGACGATCTTTCTATTAAATACCACCCTTACCAACGTCCCAAACTAACCATTTATACAAAAAATCTTTTAAACACTAAACCAATGAAATTTTAATTCTTGATTGTCGGATTTCCAACCAAAAGCTTTAGTTGAAACCACTGAAATGAGCTTGTAATGTTTATAAATAGTAAAAGTGTACAAGTAATAAGTTACCGTTAATCGAAATCTGACATACTAGAACATGATCCTAGAACCATCAAATATTACTTATTTTCTGAGTAACAAAATGGCTAGGATAGAGTAGTGTTAGTATG